GCCGCCTCGGCTCGGGGGCGCGCGGCTCCGCGAACAAAAGGCGGACGCGGCGGGAGCGGCAGGGAGGGACACAGGCAGCGAGCGAGGGAGGGATCTGCGAAGCAACAGCGACCCCCTCGAGGGTCAGGCGGGCCGGGGCCGCTGTGGCCCGGACTCCCTTCCCCTCCGCTCCGCCGCCGTCCCGTCCCCTGCTGGCCAGGGGAACGCACCCGGCGGAGGCGCCGCTGCTCCCCTCGTCCGCGCAGGGGTCGCGCGAGCGGCGAGATGGGGGACTCCTAGGTAGAGGCCGGGTGGACCTCAGATCGCGGGAGCCAGCATCCATATACACGCCGAGCACCTCGCCCCTCGAGGCTGTGCAGAGCGTGCGCGAACTCCGCCCCCCTGAACCTCGCAGAGCAAGACCGATTATCCCAATGTACAGATGGGTAAACTGAAGCCAAGGGAAGACAGGCGATCAGCCCACGGTTAGCGGCAGAGCCGGGATGGAAGCCAGACCTCGCGCCTCCAGGGCGTGCTCCGCATCTTCTGGCTTGGCTTCCCTCTCACAGTCGTGGGGAGCGTCGGGCCCTGGGTTCATGTCCGGCTCTGCACGCCGTGCGCGGCTTGTGATCCCAGGCATACTCCCTCCTCCCCTGACCCCGGTCTCAGGTTCTGCGGGGCTAAAATGGAGGCGACCCGTTCTCAGGAGTCAGACCAGCGCATGCTTTGGGAATAGGTTTTGGCTTCCGTGGGGGCTGGTCCGAGCTGGACGCGGTTGCCCTGATCCCCACACGTCCCCCACAGGAACAACTCCGGATAAGCCCGGAGCCCCGGCTCTTGTGGGTGTCTTCTTTCCTTCCAGAGCTGTGCTCCTGTGCTGTTGATTTTCCCTTGTGTCTGTCACGCCTTCCCCGCCCCCGCTCCTCGCTGCTATTTCCCATCGCCGCCGAGCCGCAGTTGGGCAGAGCCGCTTGAAGTCCTTTGGCTGCCCGGCAGGCAGGCGCTCACTCCCCGGGTAGCACCCCCTGGCGGGCTTGGGGGGCAAGGCTGGTGTTTACCGGTCTGCAGCCTCCTCTTCCTCCCTCTGTTCCCCTTCCTTTCCTTTTCCTCCTCCTTCTCC